GGGCTGGAAGGGACCTTGGAAGATCAACGAGTCCAGCCCCCTGCTCGAAGGGCAGGAAGTCAGCTGGGGTCATAGGATCCCAGCAAGATAAGCATCCAATTTTCTCTTGAAGGTGTTCAATGTAGGTGCTTGAACCACCTCTGGATGGCAGGCTATTCCAGACCTTGGGGGCTCAGACAGTGAAGAAATTCTTCCTTATGTCCAGTCTGAAACAGTCTTGCAGGTGTTTATAACCATTCGAGCGTTGGGGCGCTCTCGTGAACAAACGTTCCCCCAGATCCTGGTGGTCACCCCTGATAAACTTATAGGTGGCCATCAGATCACCCCTGAGCCTGCGCTTTTCCAAGCTAAAGAGTCTCCTAGTTCTCAGCCTGTTGTCCATAAGGTCCGTTTTCCTGATCTCTGATCATGCACGTGGCTCTTCTCTGGACTCTCTCAAGCTTCTCCACATCCTTTTGAATTGTGGGCCCCAAAACTGGATGCAGTACTCCAGCTGCGGCTCCACCAAGGCCGAGTACAAGGGGAGAATGATGTCCCGGGATTTGGTTGAGAAGCATCTATGGATGCAAGCCAGCGTTTTGGTTGCTTTACTAACCGCAGCATCGCATTGAAGGCTCATGTTCATCTTGTGGTCAATGACGACCCCAAGTCTTTTTCTTCTGTAGTGCTAGCCAGCGTAGCACTATAAGCATGCCTTTTTTCCTCCCAAGGTGGAGAACCTTGCATTTTTCAGTGTTAAAGACCATCAGGTTCTCATCTGCCCATTTGCTGAGCCTGTCCAGGTCAGCCTGGATCGCCCTCCTGTTTTTAGGTGTGGATGCTTTGCCCCAAAGTTTGGTGTCATCGGCAAACTTCGCCAGTCTGCCTCTGACTCCACTGTTCACATCTTTAATGAAGATGTTGAACAATACAGGTCCAAGGACAGAGCCTTGGGGGACCCCACTGGTCACAAGGCACCATGACTATGGACTTCCGTCAATTACCACCCTCTGGGTCCGACCACGGAGCCAATTTCCCAGCCAGCGAATTGTGGTGGACCCAAGGCCACAATTGGCCAGTTTCGCCAAGAGGCAATCATGGGATACCAGATCGAAGGCTTTTTTGAAGTAAAGATATATGACATCAATCTCTTCTCCCTTGTCCAGGTGATAGGTCACCTGGTCATGAAAGGAAATGAGATTGGTCAAGCAAGACCTACCCACAACAAACCCATGCTGGCTATCGCTCAGGATGTTGGCATCAGCCAGTCCATTAAGGATAGCCTCTTTAATAAACTTTTCTAGGACCTTCCCCAGGATACAGGTCAGGCTGATGGGCCTATAGTTTGCTGGATCCACTTTTTTCCATTTCTTGAAGATAGACACCACATTGGCCTTCCTCCAGTCTTCGGGCACTACACCAGAGAGCCAGGAGTTCTCAAAGATCTGTGCCAGGGGCTGGGCTATGATGCTCGCCAGCTCCTTGAATACCTTGGGGCATAGATTGTCAGGGCCAGCTGAATTGAAGGTGTCCAGCCTCTCAAGGTGTTCCTTCACGAGGTCAGCACTGATGGAGGGCAGGGAATCTCCCTCACTTGGACCTCCCTGTCCTGTAATGGGCATGGGTGTCCCATGGGACTGATGAAAGATCGATGCAAAGTACCCCTTTAATAGGTTGGCTTTTTCCTGGGCATCAGCTGTCAGTTATCCCATCTGGTTTATAGCAGGGGTCCAATGCTGCCCATGCTTTTCCTCCGGCACCCCACATATCTGAAAAAGGACTTTTTATTGTCCTTGATACTCAAAGCTAGATGGAGTTCAGTTGCAGCCTTGGCTTTCCTGGTTTGCTGCCTGCAGAACCAAACCAGTACAGAATATTCCTCCTGGGAGGCGAATCCCACCCTCCATCCTTTGTAGGCCTTTCTTTTTAGCCTCAGGAGGTCTGCTACATCCCTGAAGAGCCAGAGGGGCTGCTATGCCCTCTTGCTGCCCTTCCTCCAAGATGGAACAGAATTAGGCTGTGCATTGAGGATCGCTCCCTTGAGGAGCAACCACCCTTCCTGAACTCCCCTCCCCCACTTGGGTCACGGTCCCTTAGGGCCTCATTGACAAGCCTCCTGAGCTTGCCAAAGCCGGCTTTCCTGAAGTCAAGGACTTCAGTGTTGCTAACTGACTTGTTAGCTTTACGGCAGATGGTGAAGGTGATCAGCTCATGGTCGCTGTCACCCGGGTTCCCATCGATCACTAGGCTGCTGATTAGGTCATCCCCAGTAGCCAGTACCAGGTCGAGCAGTGCTTTACTTCTCTTTGGCTCATAGACTTCTTGAGTCAGGCAGAGGTCATCCACACGTGATAGGAAACTTTGCGACTGCTCAGATTTTGCTGAGTGATCCTCCCATGAGATATCTGGGTAGTTGAAGTCACCCATGACAACCATGGTCCTGGAGCATGCGGCCTCAGCCAGTTCCCAGGCAAACTCCTGGTCAAGCTCTTGACTTTGGGTGGGAGGTCTGTAGTAGACTCCTACCATTGTGTCCCCCGTGCCGTGTTCCCCACGGATTTTAACCCAGACAGTCTCCAGTCATCCACCCTGGTCGCCAACATCAGCCTGCAGGGACGCATAGCTTTCCTTAACATAGAGAGCTACACCCCTGCCCCTTTTATCTACTCCATCACTCCTGTACAAGGTATAGCTGTCTATACCTGTGGTCCAGTCATGGGTGGAGTCCCACTAGGTCTCCGCTACCCCTATGACATCATAATTATTTGTGCTGAGCAGAAGGACAAGTGCCTCCTGTTTATTCCCCAAGCTCCTGGCATTGGTATACAGGCATGGAAGTGTCCCCTTAGGAGCCCTTGCCTTGCCCACAGCTTGCTCTACGGCCTGGCTTTGCAAGGGTTGCTCAGAGGGCCAGCAGTGGTGGTAGTCCCCCCGTCCCCCATCAGGCTTAATTTAAAGCCCGGTGGAGCAGGTCAGCCAGTCTGGCTGAGAAGAGCCTCCTCCCCGGCGGAGAGAGCTGGAGGCCATCTCTTCCCAGCACCTCGCTCCCTCTCTCACCAAAGAGCGGGCTGTGGTCATGGAAGCCAAAGCCTTCCCAATGACACCAGCACCGCAGTCTTTGTTTAACTGCCTGGATCCTCCTCTCCCTCCTCAGCCCATACCCCGAGACTGGGAGGATCAAAGAGAATACCACCTGCGCCCCAGACCCTTTAGCCCCGCTCCCAAATCCCTGTAGCACCTCATGACCCGGCTGGGAGCGCTCCGTGCCGTGTCACTGGTGCCCACACAAATAAGGAACATGGGGTAGTAGTCTCTGGGCTGGAGGAGCTTAGGGATCTTCTCCACAATGTTTTGGATACAGATTTATTTAAGTAGATTCATCAAGAAAGAATACAACTGGTTTGCAGAAGCCAACTGCATTGGTTTGTCCACCTGACCTGCTGCAAGCCAGGTATACGTGTTATATTCCTACCAGGAGAACTGCCACTCTTTCATTAGAAAGAAGGATCATACAAGAATTCATTCAATTTCTTCTGGAGAAAATACACCTCCTCCAGGAGAAAAACCTTGTAGGTTGACAACCAGAAGATCTCCACAAAGAGTTTCTCTCACAAAAATGAAAAACTGCAAGCTGCTGGCTGCCCAATTCCTCTGTAATGGCAGGGAGCCCCTTAGCTGGGGGGATTCGCTTTCCCACAGCCTGGCATCAGCAGCACCCATGCTGCTCTGGTATAGACCCAGCGTAGATACCTCTCCCTTGTGGCCTCAGCTTCAGGTCTGCAGGATGCGATGGCAGGTTGGGGAAGGCTGGCAGGGCCTGGCTCTGCTGGCCATGGTGGCTCGCCAGAACTGGGAGCTCTGTCCACCAAGCTGCTTCCCTCCCTGGGCTGGATGCTCTGTGCAAAGTAGAAGAGGCACAGGGGTATGCCTGCTCCCTTTGGGTAGACAAAATCCCTTCAGCTAGACAAAGCTTTGGCTGGGATGATCTACTTGGGAATGGTTCTGCTTTGAGCAGGGGCCTGGACTAGATGACTTCCTGAGGTCCCTTCCAACCCTAACTTTCTATGATTCAATGATTCTATAAGCTGGACAGCAGCTTCCCCTGTGCCTTCCCTAGCCCAAGGATCCAAGGAAGATGGGTGGGGACATTTTCCCTGAAGCTTCCCCTCCTAATCAGGAGGGCACCCATGGCCTTCCCACTCTGGGACATGGGCTTTTTCCAAGCACTCTCTCCACTCCACGCCCCACGCTTGCCTAAACTGAGGCTCTGGGAGGAGTAGAGCAGCTGTAAATATATTGTGGGTTGGGAGCGAAGGGCAAGGGCAGGGCACTGGCATATCACACATGCACATCACACATGCACATACGTATCAGTTGAGCACAATGTTTATTGATATAGTTACAATTTAAATGCAATTTGGAAGTCTACGAGTGCCTCAATCATTATAATGCAATAAATGGTAACTACCTATAAATTTTGGTGTTTGCTTTTGGTTTTTTAGTCACAGGAAGCCAGAGCTCTCCCTGCCCCCTTTGTAAAAAAAGACAACAACCCCCCCCCCCAAACTTCAGGCCATAGTATGGAAGTGCAAGAGAAGAGGGAGTAATTCTACTTGAATGGGATCCCTCTCTTCCTTCCCCTTCTCATTCTGGCGAGAAGCAACTCCAGGTAAAGTACCAAATGAAAACATAACGAGTGCTGAGAACAGATATCCATGCTGGATTAGACTGTGTATACAAACACGTGGATTATGCTCTTTACCTCAAGCTCTTACCCTGAAATGTTGTCTTCTCTTAGAATCAAGGGTTCAGCAACTTGCTCATGGGTGTTGAGAATTCAATAGGTTAATATTACATTAAAGTTGCTCCCATTTAACCAATGCAATTTACTTTACATTTGTAAAAACCCATTAAAGTTCATGGTCAGGAGCCCATGGTTATTTATTTACAGTGTTGTAGAATCAAATCTATTTGTTTGTGTCACTAATGTATTTCTTTTCCAGTGAAAAACCACAACTTACTTCATACTAGGGAGCAAGGAGACAGCTGGAAGAGGAGGTGAAAGTCGTGGAGGGACATCATATTCTTCACTTCCCAGGTGCCCATTAGAGAATACCTGAAAACAGGCAAAAATATTACTAGGCTATTGCTACCTATATATTATTTCTTATGTGTTTAGTGCAAACCAGAGTTTAAAAAAAAATAAAAAAGCATCTCTGCCCCTGCCACTAAACCCATAAGAGTTTACAATCTAAACTAATGGACACACAGCAGAAGGATGATATGAAGAGAGCAGCAACGTTTATTAGAGGGCTGAAGGCAATCCTGATCATGGCACTGTGCTCTTGAATCCCACTGATTTAAAAAGACAGAAACATGAATCAAGCATTGGAACAGATGCAATGCTATGCATGTGAATCTGCAGACAGCCTAACAGCTGCTCAGAAATGAGGCATGAACTGCTTCATTCAATCAAATGGTCTACATCTCGAACCCAAACTAAAATGTAAACAAGGACAAAAGAGACGGTTGGTTAAAGAGGCCGGTATATGGTCTCTCCAAAACTTAACACAGTGCATTTTCACTCTGACTGGCAGTCTAAGTCCAACAGAATGGCAGCCTTACCAGCAATCAGTCTGGACACACACAACATGCAGCCTGACTACCAGTCTGTAAGTTTCTTATAGTTTCTTAAAATGACTGAGAATTGAAATATTTTACACAATTCTAGTGAGAGCTAAGGGTTGGCATACTGTCTGAGGGAAAAGGAAATTCAGATTATAAACAAATCGATGGACTGCTAGAGCAGTTTCTTCAGATCATGCCAAGGATCAGCATAAATATATTTCACCCTTATGAAGTAGATAGAAAATCCATTCTACAAATATGAAGATGGAGATACAGAGGTTAAATAACTTGCTGAAGGCTACAAAGCAAAGAGAGGGAAAACATCCTTTTCTTCCACTCTAATGATTCAGCCACATATCCACGCTTCCTCCCTGCTTTGTACAAGTTATATTCTTTCCAAATCAAAGATAAATACAGCTCAGATTCAATAGACTGGTCTAAGAAATATGACTGAATTGCTTGATAAAACTGATTAAAATGGAGTTGGGAATATTTTTCTCGGCTCAGGCCACAGCTATCCAATATCTTTAATGCCACAGTAGTTTTACTCTTGGTAAGCTTTAAATTCATCTTCCTTCTACTTACAGAAACGATTCCTGGATTTTCAAGAAAAATCAGGTGCAAATTTGTAGGAGAAAGGGGAGAGAGCTTTAATGACCTGATATGAAGCCAATTGACATAACTAAGTTTTTAAGTGTCAAAGCCTTACAAGGAGAGGCTGAGGAACACAGGACTTCAGCCTGGAGAAGAGAAGGCTCAGGGTTGACTTGGTGGCAGCCTATAGATATATAAGGGGTGTGCACCAGGATCTGGGGGAGCAGTTGTTCACCCAAGGGATAACAAGGTCTAATGGCCACAAATTTCTGGAAGGCGGATTTAGACTGGACATAAGGAAAAACTTCTTTACAGACCGAGTGTCCAGGGTCTGGAACACCCTCCCCCCCCAGAGGTGGTGCAAGCACTTACTCTGGATTCATTCAAAAAAAAATGTTTGGATGCTTATCTTGCTGGGATCATTTGATCCCAGTAGACTTCCTGCATATGGCAGGGGGGCTGGACCCGATCCTTTGAGGTCCCTTCTAGCTCCTACTGTCTACGAAATCTATGAAATTCAATGCCAGTCTAAAGCAGCTGTTATTTTGGCTATGAAACCTTGAGTCATTCACAGGATTTTCAACTTGTGTATCTTTTTATAAATAAAGGAAGCTGAAAATTCTAAAGAGGAAATTCTACAGCTTTAAAATACAAAGAAACAACCCTTAGGCAAGAAATTATTAAATCTTTATGGGTATTAAAAATCCTCAAGTTGTATTGAATGTATAGTCTGCTGGCAGAAGTATTAGTGGCATAGCCCAGTCTGAAAAAGGGCATGTTTGTTACCTTGATGCTGAACTTTAGGTATGACAATGCAAATGAGAGAATGAAAACCAAATATTCAGAAAAAATATTATTTTCCTAATTAAAAATATAATAAATCTCCATCAACCTAAAAAGTGGAAAAAAAAAAGACTGATTAAAAGTCTTGAAAAAAGTCTCAGATGAATAATTTTAAGCACCCAAGAAGTTCTCATTTTTTATGGTATTAAGGTTGATCTCCAGTAATTACTGAAATATTATCCTAGTTCCTTTTATTCCTCTAAAGTACTCTAGCACCATCTTAATTTTGAAAGTAATTCCTTAATCTTTTCAGTTAATTACTCAAGCACTGTAATAATTTACACAGGATTTTGGCAGGACCTACACTGAAGGGGTCAGAAAGCCTGCAACAGCATATTTTTAAAATGCTAACACTTATACATGCACCATTATTTTAAACTGCACTTGTAAAACCCAGTAGCACAGGTACATACAAGCACCCATGCAATTTTCTACATGCAGAAGTAGAGGTCTGGGTCTCAAAATCACATTATAATCTGCAAGGAAGCAAGAAGATGCTTAATGTACTCTTTCTCCTGCAGTATTCCACTGTGCATTTCTAAAAGCTGTAACCTGTAACAGAGAAAAAACCTCCAAAACAATAGAACGGATACTCCAACAGCCTGTCACCTTGGGCTTCCTGCAAGTTTTGTGACAGTGATATACATTGATTTTGACAACAGAGCTGCTATATATTTGCCACAGATATCAAGGTACTGTGAGTCAACAGGTTAAGTCCCTAAGGCTGTCTGGTATTCTATATTCACTGGAAACACGTTACATAAAACAGCTTTGCCACTGGCCAAACTGCCTTCAGATGTGCATGCATGTCTGCCACAGACATGAACAGGAATTGCAGACAAGCATCTAAAGAAAAAATTCAGCCCACAGGGAAGATAAATGCTGTTATTTTGAAACACCTGCAAAAAATTCCACATCTAACCACCAGAGAAGATGAATTCCACAATAGTATCAACGCAAGAGAATCAAGGAAAAAAAGCAATTCTAACATAGGCGGACAGCAGAAATCTTTGTATGAGACGCTTACTCTACAAGACAGCTTGTATCTGACCTTCTCCCTCAGATACTAACTACTGGCATTTGGATGAGCCTGTTCTCATTACTATTTTCTGGAATGCTTGCAAATGATACAGTAAGTATGGATCATTATTTTTTTATTTATTTATTTATTTATTTATTTTATTTTTTTTTACAAGCTACATAAAAGACGACAGGTAGTTGAAATCGAAGCCCATTCTGTAACTTAAAAACTATGTTGGATATTGCTTCCTGTTAAGATTTCATTAAGATGTCAGAGGGGAATCTCAGTAGGTTATCACCGCTTTGTGTACTTTCTGCAGTGATTTCAAAAACATACGACTGTCAACTATAACTTGGCTTTGTCTCACTAATCAACTTCAAAGCTCCAAGTAAGAGGTTCTGTGGTACTAAAAGAAAAAACCAAAAAACCCCCAAATCCCCAGCTACAGCAGTCTGCAGTTTTGGATGTATTGGGCATACTTGCACTCATTCTCTTGGGTAAGACTCTCCTTTTGCCTGAAGAAGGGTGTTTGCACCCAAAAGTTTGCAGAGAACAATTTTGCCAACTATTTACTTTGTCTAATAAAAGTTATCACATCTATCCAAAGAACCTTGTTTGCCTTCCGTTGGCTAAAGCACTTGAAAAGCATATGTTGTTATTACAGTAAAATTCCTTCCAAGCAGGCAAGGTCTAGAGGTCCTGAAATTGAAGTTTTGTCCACTTGCTCATATGTGAAATTGTGAGCTGGGTTTATTTATTATATACACATTTTATATATGTTATAACATTCTACAGTTCCAAAGCTCCATCTCATTTAACATAAGGAAGACTGGAGCAGCCATTATCCATACAGATGGCCCCAAGTAATGTACAACAAAAGTTATAAATGGCAACATCCATAAGGATCATTTACCAGCTCCATTTAGCAAATCAACATTATTCATCCTGCTCAGCCATTTTTGTGATGGCTTCACGTTAAAACTAAATTGTAAACTTAGAACCTCATCAACTGCTACTTTAAATTACAGAGTTTAATGATGCTTTAATCATTTACAGCCCTTCTAGTATTAAGTATCAACAAGAACCACAGAATGAAACAAAACACCACCAATGAACTAAAACTTTAACCAACAAGAGAGTCAATATGGGATCAGCTGATAAAACTGGGTTCACATCATATGCCAAGCATCTCTTACCTTGGCTCCTTCAACAGGCAGATCATGGCGTCTGTGTTTTCTCAGAAATCCAGGGTCAGAACTCATGCGACTGTGCCTTCCATTTATGTTTGAACTTGCAATGAGTCCTGGTTTTGGGGAACTGTCACATACCATTCGACAACCACCTAACTGATTTGTCCCAAATACGTCTCTGGGACACCACCCTTCAAGGGGCATAGGCTGGTCTCTGGAAGGCACGCTTTCAGGATGATGGAAGTGTCTACTTATCCTGTTGTCTGGTGGAAGTGGAGGGGGTCTTTCAGGTGGAGGAGGTGGAGGATCTCGCAGGGGAGGCGGGGGTGCCGGAAGAGGTTTATCCTGTTTCCTCACCATACATGGAGAAGACTAAACAGAATCAGAAGCCAATAAATTAAGTTCATGCACAGCCACTTCATACGAGTGTACTGATCATCTTCAGAAAACCTCAGGCAAAGGCTAAGGAAGCAGTTGCCAAGGTTATGAGATTAAGGTGTCATCAGATTAGGCCAAGACTAAATCCACTCTCTTTGCCAGCTAGCAGATTCTTGGCTACATTTTTTTCCCCTTTAGAAACCATGCCCCTACAGCTATTACTGATGGTGGAAAACTGATGGTGGAAAAATAAGTAAAAAGAGGGAGGCTTTTTTGATTTTGTGCTGGATGATGAATCTTCCCAAAAATTTTTGATCCACTTTCTGTAATACCTCCCTTGAAGTTTTTTGTAGTTTTAATTCTGGGGCATGTTTAGGCACTTAAGATGTCTACTGCAGAAAGAGGCAATTAGAAAAATGACATGACAAAGTGAAATAAGGGAGAGAGTGGATGGCTGGGGGTAAAAGAGGATGGAACAGCAATGATTAGGGAACAAAGGGCAGAGGGAAATAGGTTTCATTTTGTGTTGTTTTGTTTTAAGGACAGCAGTGCTCAATGTCCAGCCTGAGGATTGGACCCAGCCTGTGGAGCTACATCATCTGGCCCTCAGGGCTCCCCACAAATCTGGGATTTGGGCAGCAGGTGAGCGATGGCAGCAGAGGCCAAAACCACTACAATTAAACACAGCCACTGCTCCCCCAGCACTAAATTTCCAAACCCGCAGGGAGTCCCACAGGCCAGATGACATGGAACTATATGTCAGACTGTACCAGCGCGGAGAGCCAGGCCAGAGCACAGGCTCCCATCCATGGATGAATCCAGAACATAGGGCTGATCCAGCATGCAGGGTTGCACCCATGGACAGACCCCATATGAAAAGGTCGCTATTCTATAAGAATGTGAAAAGCTAAATCTAACTTGTAGTTAATAAAAAATGCTAGTCATGACATTTTTCAAAAGGCAAGAAGGTATTGCTGGTCAACACTTCATCATCAAAACCAATATGCAATGGAAAAATTTAGTTTCTGACTAGGAAAGGGTATTTGTATAAGTGCCTGGTTTTTGTGGAGTATTTCAAACTTTTTTGATATGTTAGTCTTCTTTCAAGGGAAATGCTTTCTTTTTTTCTTTTCCAACATTACTACCTTTACCAGCAAGTCACATGGTAACAAGCTTTGTGGTATTTTGATTAAGTAGTGGCAATTTTTTTGGTTTGCCATTTGTAAAACTGGAGGACAATGTTGAGGGGGGACGACAGACAGAAGGGGAATAGTATGTCTTTCCTTTGTACTACAGAGCTTGTGTTAGTGACAGAACGGAAGCTAGCTATAAGACCATGACCTCCTCGGCTCTGCTTTAAATTAAATGACAGTTAATCAAAAATGATAGGTATGAGGAAATATTGTTCTGTACATCAATTGTTCAGGCCAAGTAATATGTCCCCAGAATTAAAATTAATTTAAAAACAAAGCTGAATGTCAAGTATACAGGCAAAATGTTGATACAACAAAATTACTGGCAGGCATACACACTAACAATTCATGTATGCACACTAGCATGCTTCCAAAAGGTAAACTAATTCATACTTATTTGTGTACCACTGACAACAAAATGGTCATCTCAGAAGGGAAAATACAGGATGTTTAAATAAGATGTTTTGTATTTGTTTTCTTTTGAACTTTTACATAATTAAAAACCATAACTGAGGGTTTTTTTCTTTTTTCCTTCCTTTATTCAAAAGGTACTGCATACAATGATTATGTATAGAGCATCACAGTTTTCTCTTCTACATCGCTGTGAAGGCTAGGTCCTAATGTATCACCTCTTAAGCTTTTGATAGCAGGATATTTGCGTAAGTGTTTCTTGCCAGGATGCTGTGAAAATGAGTATAAATTACCATTTGAGAATAGCACACATTTTAATTCAGATAACCTTTTAAATCCATGTTCAAGAGTACCTTTTACTGCTATTTATTTTTTCCAAATCAAGTGTTACTAGAGAGACTTGGTCCTTCAGAATGATGTCAACTCTACAGCTTTAACAGTCACACTTAGGCATAGGGCTAATCACTTGTGACATCGCCATTAAAGTAACATAGTCAGGTGTGTTTAGCATCAGCCCATTCTACGAAGTGTCATATAAAGGGGCAGTCTGGAGGCTTAATTTAAAGCCTACTGAGGGCGATTAGTCTTCCTATTGACATAAAGGAACAATCAGGTCCCTGTCCACTAAATTGGAGTATATTTAAACTATATGGGGATACTGTGTCTACACAGGGGATGTTATGGTGGTACCTAACTGTTCCACACCTCATAACAAACAATCACAAAAAATTCCGTAAGTGTCAAATATTCTAAAAGCAAGCAAGCAAGCAAGCAAGCAAGCAAGCAAGCAAGCAAGGATCATTAAAAAAATTCAGTACGAAAGAAATCTAGTTTAGCAGAATTTACCTTTGGTGAACCAGTGGGGCTGGCACAAGGGGACCGTACTACTCCTTTCTGAATGAGATCCAAACGGGGAGGCACTGGTGGGAGACTAAGATGAGGGATCTGTAGAGGGTCTGGAAGGGGTTTTCTCCTCTGTGCAAGTGGAGAGGATCCTGGGGAGGTCACAGGTGAATTCTGTCTCTCATTGCACTTCAAAACAAGAGAGTGATTATTAATGTTTACTTGATCCATTAAGTCTACAGCTTTCATCTCCTGATTAAGACATTTGATATTTGTCAGGTGCTTGCCCTTAGCCATCTGCCAAAGTGCTCACCCTACCTCCCCTGATTAACGGATGGTGAGAATACTTGTTTTGCAGTTAAAGGGCAGTATTATTTAAAGAACTGCAGCAATGTCACTTCCTCCACCTTGGATTCAGAACCAGGTTAATTTGTGATGATGGTTAACAGTCCGTTAAAAGATTTAAAAATCAAGATGACAAAATGAAAATACTGGTATGTTTTACTGTGGTGCAAAAAATAATACACTGTAAGGTGATGCATACTCCTCTACAGCATTTTTGTTTTCTTCTTGGCAACCTTTTATTTAGTAGCAGCATTTCATAATTCCACATACCATTTTTTAAAAGCTATCCAACATGTCAGTCATTAATCATGCCATGTCCTAAAGCATTATTAAATTATACTTAGAGGTGTAACTAAATAAGTTCCATTGATCACTGAAAGAACAAAAATAACATCTTCAAGAATGCACCAGAACAATTCTTCTTTGTTTGTTATTTGATTTATGGACTACTCTTCTTGACTAAATTTGATTTATAATTTGAACCAACATTACATTTTTTGTCCAACAGGCACAAGAGACAAATGTTACACTGAGTTTTTACTGGGCCTGTCCTTTAAAAAAAACTATATTCACATTAAATAAAGATCATTTTAAAATATCACTTTAAATGCTAAAAATGTGAAAAAGTTCCTCTTCACATGAGGCTAAATTTTGTTTCAAGGATTATATCTTGGTCTCTGAATTGTCAAGAGAGTTTTTGCAACTTGCTCCTGAAATTCCAGTGCTAACAAGCACTGTTCAGCTGTGTCTATACATAGCCACCTATGCCTCATATTTGAATGAGCAAGTTTATCTGGGTTGAACCTAATAACCTATCACATGCTTTGCCTTAGCAATATACACAATGTCCCCATAATTCCAAAATGAAGGCTTAAAGACAACACGACTGGCAAAAATGAAACGCTCATTGCTAGGGTAAATCAGTTAGCTGCAAAGCTATTTTTTTTCTAAGAAGTTTTGAAAAAGAAAATAGTCTTGTACTTCCTGTAATGATGACAGAACTAGACAAACTCAACAGGTCACTTAACATCAGAGACTTGGATCACTACACTTAGGCCACAAGTAACAAACAGGAAAATGCCTGAGCACATGCTTAGACCTAACTGACCACAGCGAGCAACTGCTACACAAGTGTTTAAATGCCTTTGTGACTCACGGGCCTAAATATAACATATTCATTTTCCTAATACCAAGATGTTAAACCCTGCAGTTGCCAACACTGAAAGTACTTAAACATCAAAAAACTCTCTGCACCTCCAGTGAAGAAGGATGAAAGGTAAATTAATACTGCCCTAACTAAATAGATGGAAGGTATATGACAAAGGTTAAGTGACTGCTCAATGAAAGATCCAGAAAAAGAACCCCAGGTCTCCCGACTCCTAATTCCATGTTCTAACCTTTACATTTTAATATTTTATTGTGAACAATAAGATGGGGGAAGAGAGAGGTAAGTACATTTCCAGCAAGAACGGTAGACCACAAAACAGGATTCAGTAACAAGATAAAAAGCATACTGCAGTGCACACAAAAAGAAGGACAGTTAAGTAAGACTCAGGATTTGAGAGAACTAGGTTGCTTCCCATCCTCAGCCAAAGATGTATATCATCCTGGTTAAGTCATTACATATACCTGTTTCATGTCATTAGTGAAATGGGGATAATCCTACACTACATTTACAAAAGTGGTGTGAGGATATGTTGATGCTCTCAGATACTATAGAAGTAAGGGCCATATAAGGAATTAATGGTATGCCCGCAAAGTGTAAGGCAGTACCATACAAATCCCCAAACTAGCTCCCAAACAAGTGACAGTACAGCCGCACTTGCACGGTGCTGTATTTAGGTTAATTTCTCCAGGTGTGGGGGTCATGCAAAAATGTCTCCATCACAGTTGGCTCAGATATCTCTGCATCACTGCCTTCCCTCCATGAGTTACTAGTTTAGGGTATGTCTAAGAGATGGTGCCTGAATAGCTGTACTTATACCCCCTACCACAAATCAATCAGTCCTAACAGAAAGCACTTAACAGTTAAATTTTCATTGTATAATTTAGCAGCACTGATTTTTAAAATTCAGAAGCACCTTCAGCATGTTTAAAATCAAACAGCCGTGTAATTTAAATATATTCAACACACCGGCTTCAGAATTGTACAGGAAATTAATTTATTTTCAGAAACCATTCAAAAATAATAACAAATGAGCAGGTCTGCACCTCCAATAAAATGCAACTGTTTACAATTAAAATGTCAGTGCTTTAGTAAGTCCTTATGTTACATAGTGCTTTATAATGCACAGTCTTTCAAGACACAGTGAATCATCCCAGAAGAAACATGAAAAAGATGCACAATAAAGATGTAGGTAATAATGAAGAAGACTATTTAGCCAGAAGATATAAAGATACTTAACATATAATAAACAGAGTGCTGGGTGAGAAAATGTATTCTGAATTACAGGCATTCATAATATTGCACCATCATACTAATGACCCCATTTCCTATGAGCCTGGACTGCCAAACTAGCCCCCAAACATTATATTACATTCAAATGCATTCTGAGGCCATAGCTGCATGAGCAACTGCCTGCACTCAGTATCTCTAAGTATATCCAATACTGTTATCTCTTCCTCCTGTGTGGTTCTATTCTGAAAGATGTCTAGAGGCAAAAACAATTACACTACTTTAAGGGAAGAAGAATTTACTGCTAGTGAAATTACCTCTGCTAGTCTGTTATAACTGTTCTTTCTATCCCCTCCTATCCCATTGTAAGCAAAGTTAATGATGTACCCCCTGAAGGAAATAGATAAATTAAACCACAATTTACCACTTATCTTCTGTAACTCATGGTAAATGGTGAAGTGGATTCACCTGAAGCAAAGAAAGTCTCCCTCTTTTTCACTTGGTATAGCCAGTTTTGTCTTTCCATGCCTTAGGTAAAATGATACCGGTTCGTCAGCCTGCGCATTGTAGCTGCATCTGCTGTTCTAGACTTTCCCCCCTGACTCTGAAACCAGGGGCAGCAGCAGCAGTAGTACATTATGTCTTGGACACACTGATTGGAAGACTTTATCTAAGGACCTGTGCTATACCTTCCCATTTTCTACCCAGGAGGGAAAAGCCTTAGGAAGGTAATTACTTGCCTCACTGTAGCTCTGACAGCTAGAATAGCGGACCATGGCAGACTTCTTCATGAAGGCGCAGTGGAGTAGTAGCGAAGCAGAGGAGATAAAATGTAAAGCAGGGTTCCAAGAGAAGGCCTTGATCCTTCAAGCAATCAAGCAACAATAGACAGACTCTGCCTTTGCAGCAGGTTTTATAAAGGGAATTTATATCTAGTTATTCAGACCCCAGAACAGCTGAGGTCAGTGAAGTGATGAGAGCTGCTGGCACAGGACACAGTGGGATATCACTTGAAGGACTTAGCAGTTAAACCATGTGACAGGCATATCCTATACAAATATATTTGAAACTGGCATGGATTTAGCCCCAATTCATCCAGGGCTAGATCTGTCACTGATTGGCAGGTCTGAAACAGGATACGCATCTGTGACTCTTTGAACCAGTACTGGGCCACTGTCCATTGTTTAGCTGCTTTGTTTGTCCACATAGGAAACTGAGGATATTTTAACCCCTCTGGGCAAGTGTTAGACAACATAACTGATAAAGAGCCCAGAGCCAGACAATATTAGAATTCTGCCACCACTAGAAAAGCTGCATCAGGAAAATCATTAGAGAGAAATTTTAAGGGAAAAAAAGGCTTATGCACACATTGCTTAAATGCATTCATGCTCACATGAACTATAAAGGTGAAAAGGGGCTCATCAAGCAATAATGGACAGATTCACAGATTCTGGCTTTGCGGCAGGTTTTATAAAGGGAAGTCACATCCGGTTATTCAGACCCCAGATCAGTTAAGATAAAGCTTCACAAATCCGGTTATTCAGACCCCAGATCAGTTAAGATGAAGCTTCCCAACCCCTGTGCAAGCCACCACAGATCAGTAGGAGTGAACGGCAGCCCATTTTTCTAGTTAGCTGCAGTAAACAATTCTGTTTAAGTTTCCAACAGTTAAACTTGTATAAATCCAGTTTGAAGATAACCATATAAGCATCATTAACCACCCAATTTGGTGTGATGGTACGTGACAAAGAAATAACAGCTCAGCTTTATTCTCAGATCTCAGTTTCCAGTAGTGTGGGGGAGAGAGTTTGGGTGGAGGAGATGGACAGGAATAAAACCCTGTACATCAAGCACATTTGATTTAGGTATGAAGGAGGAAGTGGGGGGGAGAGAAAGGGAAATACAGACCATTTGTACAGCTAGTTTTCAGAGCTGCGTACAGAGCATGCATACAGAGCATATATGTTTAAATTACTTCAGATGAATAAGGTTTTACTTTTTTTCCTGAGCAAAAATACAGTGATCTCCAGGTGATGAGCAATATTAAAAATGCCTAGACAGATTTGGCATGTGCACAGCAAATCTCTTGAGTACAGCAAATTATTTTTGATAAGTACAGACTTGTTTTCTTCATGCACCACCTTAAAATGGTGTGCCATTATGGCACAGATTTGTTCTGGTGTGTCTAATTTTTTTTAAAAACATTTCATTTTTTATTTCTCACTCTTTTTCTTGACTCATCAGCCTAACACTTAACTATCTTCAGAATTCAAGATGTTTTTTCCATCTGGTTGCCTTTCAACCCATAAGGTTATTCGCCTGTTCCAGCATATAACTGCTTCCACCTCCATATGCCACTGCTGGTACCTCATATAATTGAAGTTTTTTCTTTGTTCCATTAAATTTGCTAAAGCCCCTCAATTTTGACTTCTGTTTCCTGGTTGGAAAC